CGGTTCATACAGTGCGATTGGACACAACCACTCATATCGATCGATGTCTAGGGTAACCAGGATGATTGACCAATCAAAAGACCTCATTTTCAACTGGCCAATAAGCATTGTGTCCGATTGATATATGATATATGCTCAGTATTATAGGGCTTCACTGTCGGCAACAGTGTAATAAATAAAGATAAAATTTGACACACACATCATAAAGGCAAACGCTCGGTCTAGATATACTATGTCTATGCACACATCACTGCAGAGAACAAAATGGCGGCCGAATCAAAAGTCTCGTTCCGTTTGATTGTCACTGGACGATGGTGACCGGCGGTGGCGACGACGACGGCGATATCCGCGTTGCAAAAGATGCTGTCCCGATGATGCGAGTGTCCACCAAGTGCAACCAGTATAATGTGCGTGAAATAACGAATCGCTCTAATTGACGGCGGCAGCCAAGAAGGAGAATAAATTGCGCCTGTAAAATACCGGAGCGGCCATAGTCGAGTCTGAATTTACTCCTACGAGTTTGAATTCCGTAACGGTCGCGCGTATTCCAGTTAAATGTCACATCTCCTACTTTGCGTTATAAGCCCCATATGTAGGAGTCAAAAACGAGAGTGTACTTCAAATTAGTTATACCGTAAGTTTTTGACAGTTACAACGTATACTTGGTACAAATAATCTAGACTTGGTCTAGTTTTGTTAACCAGCTTTGCCTTATATGTATTTATTACATGCCACTAATTGAGATCTATTATTTACATAAATGTTACATTGATGACAGATCCATCTGATCTTAATTGGTATTCACTATTGCATAATTTTACGTGCAATTGAATCACGATGGAGGATGTAAATGAGATTTTGGTATGCGCAACTGAATTTATAAAAGGTAATTTATTTTGGATTAGAATCTACTTTTATAACTGCTTAATTATTACATTTTTTTTTCTTTTACACATACATGTAATATTTATTATATATAACATTAAGATTATTTTATAATTATCTAATTTTGTGTTAATTTATTATCTACAAAATTTTGACCAAAAAAAATTTCAGTTAAAATAAAAATATATGAATTTTTTCTTTACTCTTGATTTCATTACAAAAAATTGAACTTGTGTATAGTTTGTCCTTTATATTAAGAATTTAATTCTTTGAGTATCATTTTTGAGATTATTATTATAGTCAATGTATATATTGTCAATATTACAATTGCAATCATAATTTATTTCCAAAAAATTTTGTATTGTATTTTACTAAATACTGCAATCACATAAAATTTATGAAAATGGAAAATTTATCTTTTACTTGCTAGAAAAGGAGAAATAATTTGATTCTTCTTTCAGATCGATTGTACTTTGTCACACTAAGAACAACAATGAAACCAAAAAGTACTCCAAATACACATTATTTCAGCATTGACAATGAATTGGTGTATGAAAATTTTTATGCCGATTTTGGACCCCTTAATCTGGCCATGCTATATAGATACTGTCAAAAGGTCAATAAAAAATTAAAGGGGATTGCACTCAGTAAAAAGAAACTTGTGCATTATACGACAATGGATTCGGAAAAAAGAGTGAATGCTGCATTTCTCATGGGAAGTTACGCGGTAACAAATTTTTTTCTCTATTTAGAATGTCAATCTAATTTAGGGATGCTTTTCTGTCCTAGAAATTCTTTATATTAATAGCACATAAAAAATAGTATAAAATTAAAATATCTTGATTTTAATTCTAATATTAATAGCAAATAAAAAGTGCACAAAGCAAGAATATTCTAATTTTGCATGTAACACCTACAATTATATTTATGTGTGTCCATAATCTTGCTTATCAATTTCATTTTACATATATGTATGTTGAAATGGCAAATGTGAAATGGTGAGGAAAGCACAAGAGAAAAAATCAAGTTTAGGGGATTTCAGCTGTTTGATCAAATCATTGGAATCTGAATGGAGACTGACATTCAAAAATAAAAAAGAATGTCTGACTCTAATGAATAAAAATTAAGAAAAAAACAGAGAAATTAAAGTATAAATTTTGCAAAATAAAATGTCATTTATATATACTATTATATAGATTATACAGGATGTTTCGAAATTCGTGAATCAAATTACTACAGCAGAAAAATTTTCCAAGAATTAAATTATAACCATTATAATAAAAATATTTGCCATTTTTTATTCCAAGTAGCAATTCTTGAGATATTAAGGTTTAAAGCTGACCAATTACAAATTATGTTTAGATGGCTGTTTAAATATTTTAATTTATGAATTTTTGGAAACTTGTATATTTATTTATATATTTTATTTACATATACTAATACAATAAAATTTTTTATATTTTTAGATATTGTACTGTAAGCGTACAGCACAAGAAGTTTATGAATGTTTGACTAAAAGTCCAAATAATCCTTCATTTATTATGTTTCGTGATGCCTCCATTGGACCACCATGTTATCAGATATCATTAAGGGATTGTCTAAGTGCTATATACAAGTGCCATCAACTTGGTTTTTTTAATTTCGAAGATTTCTGTGTTAAAGAATACGAACACTTTGAAAGAGTTGAGAACGGAGATTTAAATTGGATAGTTCCGGGAAAGTTTGTTGCTTTCTGTGGCCCACATGCAAGATCTAAGATGGAAGATGGTGCGTATCTTCCATCTTGGTTGTATTAACAACCAATTTAATTTAAGAGTGAGTGTGTGAAAAAGAATGCAAATAATGAGAAAAAAATGAGAGGATTAGGTGAGTAAATATATCAGTGGAATGAATGGTTATAAGTGCAAAACATGAGTGTATGCAAACATGATCGAGTTTTGAGGAGGGAGAAACGAGAGAGTCGCAATTGAGCATGGAGAAAAGTGAAGGAATTAATGTTAAAAAAAATCATAAAATAAAAGTTGTAAATCACTTATGTATATATACAATTTATATATATTTCATTTTCATTTTTTATGATTTGAATCATTTAGAGTGCATTGATAACAGTGTAAAGTTATATATTACACAGTAATATTGTGTACTTTTTTTGCAGGTTATCCATTACATGGTCCAGAATCATATTTTACTTATTTTCGCCGTAATAATGTAACAACAATTATACGGCTTAATAAAAAGGTTTATGACGCGTCGAGCTTCACTGACGCTGGCTTTATACATAAAGATTTATTTTTTATGGATGGCTCGACTCCAACAGATTCTATAATGCACCAGTTTCTTAAAATAGCAGAAAACACAAATGGCGCAGTTGCAGTTCATTGTAAAGCAGGCCTTGGAAGGACAGGTTCTCTTATAGGTTGCTACATTATGAAACATTATCATCTAACCGCTCATGAAACAATTGCTTGGATAAGAATATGTAGGCCGGGTTCTGTAATTGGTCACCAGCAACAATGGCTAGAGAAGTGGGTATTTGTCATTTCTCTTTTATTTTCTTATCATGATGTATCTAATAGCTTAAAGAATGATAGATACATCATATAAAGGAAAACTGATAAATTATTGTGCTTTTTAGAAAGGAGATATATCTTCGATCGTTATTGAAAGAACCACTGCAACTCGAAAACAGAAATTTAGTCCATGAGTATGGAATATACTCGATAGCTGGTAGACCCAGTGCAGCTTCTTTCCAGGAGAATACAAAGAGTCTAATGGAAGATAATGTATCAGGAATAATGCATCGTGTGGATGAAATAAAACTAGATGATCCTGGACCAGTAGCTGGAGCTAGCACGACTAATAGATACAGTACGCTAACTCAGGGTGATAAATTATGTAGAATCAAAGCCAGAAGAAGAGGCATATCGACGTCTCAAACTTCTCTTAATACAAATACGGGGACATCCACTGTTGGGCAGTAAGTATAAACTGCTTTTATTCTAATAAAAACTTGAAACATATATATATATGTGTGTATATGTATTTTATGTAAATGATGGCACTTGTTGAAACTGACTTTTAGTATTTTAAACTTGATGAAATACATTAGGAAAAGAAGAAACTTGCAATATCAATATATATATATGCTCTATGTGCAGTTTATATATAGTCAATGCAACACGCTTTATGCCTCGGAGATATTATTTGATTGGTAAATATATATCTCACTAATATTCATTAGATCATAAACCATTAAAAGTCGAATGTATTTATACACCTATTATTTAGTCTTCAGGGAATTCAAAGATGTAAAAGATATTAGATTATAAAAAGAGAATGTCTCTCCTTTTAATTCAAAACTCAGTATTTAATAATTTTTGAAGTTATTGATTACAAATGTGAAATTAAAATTATAAAATTGAAAATAACGGCTCCAATACGGCGGCAATAAAGTAATTTTTGTTATACAGTAGAACCTCCTATATATACACAGAGCCGTTATAGATGTTATAACGTCTTGAGATTATCATATTTTGCGACAAGCTATATATTATTTCTTCAATATTGTTGCTTTGAACAAAATGATCATGATTTAAAAAAACTTTACGGCTCTAAAGATTAATGGAGAAACATATATAATAATAGATTTTACATAAATATGATGTAATTTTGTATTTTTCTTTTTATTATGTACTAATCTTATATCATATACATAAGTAAATTATACATTAATAAGTAATATAGGAATTTTAATAACAGTTTATTAAACATGAAATTTTAATATGTAAGAAATATTATGTTATCTTCAAGTTTCTTTGTGTAAAGATATTATAATATAATATTTAATATAACATGTATGTAATATATAACATGCGCACGTGTGTGAACATAGTGTAGTTATATAATTTATAAAGACACTTGTGTATTTCTCTCACTTCGTTTACTAGTACAAAACATATCAAAAAATATGAGATTGTAATAATAATGTAAATTTTTACATATAAGATAGTCCAGAATTACCGTGATTTTCTCAAGAACGATCAATAATAGAAAAAAAAGAAAGAGTTGAATAGTATATAACATCAATTATTTTTCTGCGACTGTATTTTTTAGTATAAAAAATATACTAAAAAATGAGATTATAGAAAGGTGATCCCTGTCATACATTATTCAATATTCTTCTCTATCATTTTTTCTATTTTTAAACTTTGTCAAGAAAATCATAGTGGATGCATGATCTTTCTGAACCAATCTATATTTGTATGCGCACGTACATTAACATCACCCGGAAAGAGAAGAAAAAAAATAGAGTGTTAATATTTTATATTAAAAAAAAGAAATTAAGAATAATTTATATTTCTAAATAACGTTTTATTACGTAATATAAATTGGCAAGAAGATAAGACAACATATTAATATCCCGATGTAGAGTACTTGGACCTCCCGTGTGTGTGTGTGTGTGTGCGCGCACGCGCGTGCTCGTGTAATACAAAAATTATAATAAAACTAGTTATATAGTTGTTAAATGACTAATTTTATTGAATGAATATTATAGTATTTATAATATAGTATATATTATAGTAATTATACACACATAGAGAGATACACATACACCAAGATACAACATAAATACATGAAAATTAAATTCTTAGTTAATCTTTTGTATAAGTTTATCTATGAATTATTTTTTTTATGAAAGTTTATATTAGAGTAATTTGGTGTATATATTAACAAACAGACAGATAGTGAATTTTCATTATCTTTGAATTTTGTCATATTCAAATTAATAATATAAATAATAAATTAATACAGATACTATCTTGGTGTTTCTGGCATATTTAAAAATAATTTATTTATTAAGATAATTATAAATAAGCAATTTCTGTGTTTAATTTTCTTTATAGTATGTATATAAAAGTGTATATTGATCATGTAGAATATTCTATTACTTTTATTTGTATTTAGATGTTTCGATATATATATATATTAATTACTCTTTTAATAATCCCGAAAATTGCAATTTATTTGTCAACTGATACTATATGGACATTTTTATCTATATCATTGAATATATGAACATTTATTATACAATTAACTAATAAATTTAAATTTTATTTTATTTTTATGCATTTTTATGGTGTGTCTTGCTGTATATATAATTATGTTAAAATAAAATATTTTTCACTCAGGAATAATTTTTATAATTTTCTTATGCACGAATTTTATCCTTTAGTGGATATATTTATACATATTATACATATATATTATTAATTTAATAAAGTGCAGTATATATTAATCATTTATTAAATGTAAATGATGTGTAAAGATGTAATGTAATATACAAATGAGCAACAATTCATTAATATTTAACCAAATATGTGAAATTTTTTAGATTCCAAAGCTTAAACTTCACCTTTTTGTACGAAAAATTTATATAATAAATAATTGTTACAAAAGTGTTAAGTTTAATGCAATACTCTTATCTTATTTTTTATGTTCTTAAATGTCTACAATAATGCAATTTTATTATACCTAAATTACTGTTTTATTATTATCGACAATACAAAGATTTATTTATCTACAGTAGCGCGCAGCGAGTTTTTTCCAGTCACGTTAAATCCTATAGGACCATCGGTCTTTAATGATATCTCTTCGATGTTTAAAATGTAAAGACGCCATATTGTAAACAGAGCCTACAACTTCGAGCTTCAATTGGTCACAGTTTTTTCCCTCTATCACATATACTGCTTTTATTCTAATAAAAACTTGAAACATATATATATATGTGTGTATATGTATTTTATTTACAGTCCATATTTGGGATCTTTGTTACAAACGAGGAGTCAGAAAGGAGCCATTACTACTTTAGTGGCAAATAAAGAAAGAGATCCCACTAAAAGACTTTTATCACGATCCACTGCAACGACAGTGAAGAGGTTGGACGATTATTTACTTATAAATTTCTTTTCTAATTATCTTTTCTGTCATTCTTCAACCTATTTTCCTCTATAGAGACCTATTCATTAACACATGCTTTTAATAATATTATCGAACTAAATATTATTGATATTGCATGCATGGGGTTAAAAGATATAGGTCTGTTTATTTTGACTGGAAATTGTAGAAACAATTGGTTGGTCAACAGTAGCTGTGATCCATCTTCCTGCCGTATTAGGTCTAAACCAGCAACACAGAGCCATAACATCAACAACAATACAACTACTATCAATCCTGTTACATCTTTAACTGTATCAAAGGCAGTGAGAAGAACGAAACGTACTTCCTGTATGGCTGCGCAGGCTCATACTACAAACTCGTCTGCCAATCATACGATACCACAGCCGCAACAACGCATGAATATGATTCTCAGGTCGGCAGACCGAGTTACTCGTTATTCACTCAGACAGTAAGTCGATAACTGTCCTTATTTCTCGGATTTGAGCTTAAATTTACGATTTGAGGAATTGATGCATTATCGTGTCCGATTATGCAGTTTTTTGATCTTTTAATTCATTGTTTGATATATAAGTGAAATTGACGTTGACAGTATTTCCTCCTCTTCTCTCCCAATTCCATTGCTTTTGACATTTAGTTTTGCTTTATTGTAATCGTGCAAGTATATTTTTCATATAAAACTATATTTTTGTCTTTTGTGTTTCTGGTCATCACAGATATATAAAGTTCATCTGGTTGTCGTAAATCAATAAAATTTTTGAAACTATAGATTTATATTGTTTAACATGGTCAGGTTAATATAAATCTATGAAGTTTCATGACACACATAAAGATGGTTCAATGTATAAACGAGATTTTTTATACACAAATTTTATTAATGAAAAAAAAGTACACAGTTTGCACACTTTGTTGTTTTTTATGATTGGAATATAATAGCTATTGATGTGCATTTTTTGTATCCCCTTCATGAAGTAAGAGAGAGAACGTTTTGCGAATCTAAAATGACATCGATTTTTGGATGGCACGCATGATTTGCATTTAACAGTTTTTGTTAAATTCTTTCTCCTATTTCAATACTTGCAACTATGATAAGATATTTGTCTCAAATTATATTCGCAATCTATCTAAGATTTTGGAGAGATAGCTTTTTATTTATTAAAAACTTTATCCATTGTGATACAGACGGGTGTAGTAGCCGTTTACTCATCGTGGTTACTGACTGGAGAATCCTGCTACAGATTTATATTCTAAACCTTTTTAAAGTATACGTTACAACTATACCACATTTTTGTACATAGCTGCGAGTAATGCATGCATTGTAATTATAATGCATATGTTAAAAAACTACAGAATAGACCTGCTGAAATGTTCTGCTTATGGTATATTGTCATAGATATTTATATTGATTTGTCAGTGCAGATTGCGATTTTAGCCTTACTTATTTTTCGTCATAAAAAGGAAATCTCGTTTATTATTTGTATATAAACCATCTTTATATTCATACACATACATACATATATACTTATGTACAAAACGTTTTATAACATGTGCGATTAATTTTAATAGTTAATGGGAGACACATAAAACAGTGAAAAAAGTTTATAAACATGTGTCCTATTTGTTTATATATGAAATTTTTTTCTCATGATGACAGATGTTATTTCTCAAAGTATTAACTTGATATTCCCTGTATACACACATACACACGCAAGATTGCCTGTTTTAAATGCTTATTCCTTTTTACTTTTTCGTTTTTGTTTTACAAAATTTTTAGATACAAGATTTATCTAAAATATCTAAACAAATATTTTAAGTATAAGTCTTTTGTAAAATCATGCAATCTCTATGTGGTACACTCTGCATTGTCAGCGGTATTGTAATTTTTTTGACACATAATTGAATCAATTTTAATGAAAAAACGGATTATCGAGTCGTTAGAAATGTCTTTATATCAGTTATAAAAATCTACAGTAAAACTTTACAAAAACGGACCCAACCCCAAAGACCTTGACCTTGACATATGTTGTCAAAATCTCTATCCTGAGTATCCTCCAAAATTACTATACATAAATGAATTTGCTAAGATAAGCTCTATTAAATGTAAATGGTATCAGAAAAATTACGTTCTATTTAGTAAATTCTTTTTGTTAATAACTTTTTAATAAACAACGGGCGACGCTTAAAATCTTTTGGAGGATATCCAGGATAACATATCAAAGTCGAGGTCGTTGGGCGTGGACCTGTTTTTGTAAAGTTTTACCGAATCTACAGTCAAGATAGAGGTATTCCTATTTAAAGAATTTAAGATAATCTTAAGATGACCTTGAAAAAAAAATCTAAAAAAATGAATATGATCATTCTATATATTCTTTTTCAAAGCACCTCGGCTCCCACTCCTCAACACTCGGTCTAGATATACTATGTATATGCTTTCCTCTAAAGAATGGAATGGCTATGATTGGCCAGTGTAGTACTTAATACGTATTAAAATATATCGGTGTAAACTAGGTCACAGACTTCTATATTTCATATAAGCAAAATTTGAGGAGTCGACAATCTAGTAATATATAGATATCTCTATGGTCATGGACAACAATGAAGAGTGTATGTATACTTTTGTATGCTTGTGTATGATACAAATGTAACGGAAAAATATATACAGAAAATATTTGTATTGGCTTTATCTCAATGTATGAGACATTGCATCTTTGTAATTGTACAAAATCAAGGAAGACGGATCAGCTCCGTTAAAAATTAATAAATTAATTCATTAATTCATTTCGAGATTCTCATGAATTTGACACTGCGCACATACACAAAGCACTTTTAGCCTTTTAAAATATAAAATTGATAATTAATTTGTAAATTAAAGTAATTTGCCTTGTAGAATACAATTTAATCTTAAAATCGTAAATATTATCTTATATCGAACGAATTTTTTTATACTGACTGTATCACGAAAATTTCATAGTGACTGTACACAAAAATTATTCATGAAAATAAAGACTGTAATTCTACAGTACAAATTTTTTCTTTTATCTCATAAATTATTAATTTAATATTTCAAAAGGCTGAAAGTGCTTTATGTATGTGTGCATAATGTTAAATTCATGAGAATCTCGAAATGTATTAGATTTATTAACTTTTGATATAATTAATTTGTCTAGTTCCTATTTAAGTAAGTTTATAAATTACAACTTGAACTTTTATTACAGACTACATTTGAGGATTTTCAAATAGATGAGCGATTCAAGAAACTGGAACGCTCTATGAAACTGGCTGTGCTGAGAAAGGCACACAGTGACAACGGAAAGGTGTTGCCTATTGCGAAAAGCCAGCCCAGCATCTCCAGCACCAATCTGGATAGTTTAGATTCTAGTTGCAGGATTCCATCATTGCAAACTTCTATGGTTCAGAGCGAGGTCTTGGCCTCCAGTAATAATCTAAGAAACTTACTCTTGAGAAAGAAGAATTATAAAACCAACCAAGAAATAATGGCCTCATCTAGTATTAAACAGCACAACATCAAACAGGATAATCATTTGAATGATAGATATGTTATGCCACCTCCAATGAGGAACACAGTTTATTGTACTTCTAAAAAAACACAAGGCAACATCTCTACATTGTCAAATTACGAAACAGCAGCATCAAATTTCCTTAATAGGCCTGTTCAGTCTTCCACAATGAATACTTCATCTTTAAACAGTGCTGCTAGTTATGTATCCACTAATAGAAATACTAACAAAGAATACTTGCATTCTCTTGCTGCACCAATGACACCTACTAATAATCTTCAGAGAATTGACAGAATATTTTCAAAATGGAAAGTTATGCTGAATAACCATTATGAATTAATAATTAAAGGAACATTAGAATGGTAAATATATAATATAAATTTTAGTAATTTAAGCATTAAGATTTTTTTCAATTTAACATGTATTTTTTTTTAATAGTGGAAGAGTTGCACATAGCAAACCGGTCATCAGAAGATACTCTGCAACATGTGTAGAGTCTAAATATAAAAATATATATAGCCTTCAAGGAAATATTGTTGATGAAACAAATGGTAATTGTATAAAGTTTTTTTAAATATATATACATACATATATATGTAGTATATAAAGTTGATATATATATATATATATTACATAAGTTAATAATTTATATTTTGTATACAGTATTACCAGATTATATTCGTGGAAAATTTCATAATGGTTTTCCTGATGATTGGGAAAATGTTTATCAAATATGGAGAACATATGTTAGCCAAGGATGTCGAGTGACATTTCGTTGGCCTACTCGTATTACTGATAGCGATGATGATTTAAAGAGTGAATTAACAGAATTGACTTGTATACGCACGACAAATAATAAGACTATTCCTATGGAAATTAATGAATCGATTGAATATATTAAGTCCGATAGTCCAAGTGACAAATCTTCAAAAAATGAGAAAAAATATCATAATTGTTCCACTCATAGTTTTCAAAGATATGAGGAAAACACTTCATTTGTAAAACCTTTTACCTCCAACTTTGAAAAAGATATAATTTCAATTGCGCAAACAAGAAACATAATGTCAGTACATAATGACAAAAAAAAAAAAAAAAAAAAAAATTGGAATATTATATTATTCTTTTATCTAAATCTAAAATATTATAATTTTTCTAAATCCAAAAACAAAAAAGGATAGTATTTTAAAATAGGCCATCTCTTGTGCGTATACATATATTTTTCTATAGTTTTTTATTTTGTAGAAACACGCGCGCGCGCACACACACACACACACACACACACACACACACACAAAATAAAATTTTTCTATATATTTTAAAATGTTTACATTCTATACTAACTTTATATAAGAAGAAATATAGTAATCTAAAATACCAAAAATTGTGGGACTCTGTTGTGTATGACTGATTTTCGTTAATTGATTATTGCATTTTTTTTTTTTTAGATTGATATTGCATGTGACATAACTCCATTAATTTCGGTTTTGTTTTGTTAAAGCATGCATTAAATACTAGAAATCTTATATAGGCCTGGGCAAATAACATTTGAACAGAAATGTATTAAAAGATGAAATTTTTATTATATACAATCCATAGTCCAGGCCTCATAATGTATAACATTACAAATAGTGTTTAAGGGAGAAAACAAGGAGCACTAGAAGTGGCTAACAAACCGATCCTATTTATTTCTGTGACTTGCAGTGCACGCACAACAAAAAGTTATAAAAGTGCATTTATCAGATGACTAACCGATATTCCCAGTGGCGTTGGGGAGGATTGTCAGGTAACTGGAGCATCTCACCAGCGCCGAAGATCTCATCGCTTAAACCCCATCATTTAATAAAAAGTACTTCACACTGACCTTCAATCCGTCTTCAAATCAAGTGAGTTTTGCCCAGGCTTTTATATCACAAATTAATGAAGATCAAACTCTCTATCTCTACAATCATCAACACTGCATTTATTAATATGGTTTTATTATATTTGCATCACATGGAATATGAATTTGTTGCAGTGTTATTTAACTCATAAAGTTCACACAGCTTTTATAATTGTTCTTTTACATATCAAAATATTGCGATCTATTGAATGTCTACAAGAAAAAAGAATCAAGTTTTTTGTGTATATTATTTATACATTTAATCTCTTTTTCTCTGGTTAAAATAAGCATTTGTAAATACGTATTTTTAAAATTATTTTGTCTATACATAATTTGTTTTTAATCATTTTCGGTTTAGCTAAAATGTTTATTTAATACGCATATATTCTTTTTGCGATATCTGGTGAATATGTATTTTATGATAATATAATCTAAAATATACTTTATTCTTTTATCTTTATTCAAAAGCTTTGCAGAAATATTCAGTTATTATTTTTATTATTTTAAAGAAAAGAGAGAGTTAATTCTTCCAATATCATACATATAACTATAATTAATAGTCCCCCTATTATTATTAATATTCTGGAAGAGTCAACCTTGATTTTGTTAAATGATTAAACGAGTGATAATTTTGAATGTATTTAAAATTAAAAAATTTGTTATATTTTTTGTTATATTAATACATTACTTAAAACAATTAGGCGATCATTTTAAAACTTATGAATTTTGTCGATTTTCAAGAGGCCGTATCTCAGTTTCGGGAGATCAGTTAGGAGATTTTTTTTGCTAAAGAATGAAGCCTTGACTTTATGGTAGCTATAGGATGACATTTACCGTTCCATCGGACTGTCTTTTTTTGAAGACCAAAAATAAAATGTGCAAAAATCCCAGAAATTTTATTTTGTGGCCTTCCACGGGAAAAGCAAGGATGAAACGAAAAATGCTACCACATAGGCTTGGAAATCGGGAACTTGCCCTTTAAAACGCGCCTAAAAGAATTGTCCTACGATCCCCTGAAGCTGACGTTACGGTCTTTTAAATATCGACAAAATTCGCAAGTTTTAAAATAATCCTCTAATTGTTTTTAGTAATATATTATATGTAAATTTTTATATATAACTATATTATAT